GTTTGCACGGGTGAGGCCCACCTACCTCACATCCCTCTGAAGGATCTACCTGGCCTGCAGCCTGCTTTGGAGTTCACTGTTGACACCAAGGTGAGCAGGCTCCAGGGACATGCTGGCAACTGCTCTTCCAAAATGCAGCATAGAAAGACAGGTGAGCAGGGGCCCTGGATGACGGGGGCTTCCGTCTACCATGTCCTGGTTGGCTGTGGTTTAGTTATGAGTCTGAGAAGTAGGTATGAGGATTTGCCTGTCTTGTTGAGAAAATGTGTAAAAGTCTATGAGAAAAACATCATGTTGCCCTGTTAAAATAAACATTGGAGTTCAAATTGTGCTTCTGTTACAACTGGAAGCAGTAGGTGGTTTTACTTTAGTGAAAGATGAGGCAATGAAGTGGAGATGTATAGAAAAAATACAGAGAATCAAAGGAAACTGGGATCCCTGTGCCGCCTCTTTACCTACAAAGTAACGGGTTTGCCTTCAAATTAGGGAGAGGCAGTCGCTTGGAGCCTGGACCACTCAGATACTTGCCCTTGATCAGGACACAGCGCTCCCGCCTCACAGACACACATGAATCCCTGTTCATTTTGCAGCAGAAACTTCCCTTTGAGACATCCTGGCTGCCACCTGGCTGGGTCACAAGCTCCAGGTAAAGTCCAGGAAAGGGGAAAAGGACGGGGGATCGCCGAGTCTCCTGAGCCTTCCCCATGTAAAGGCTCTCCTGACTCTGGGGTTGCAGTTTAATTATCCTCACACAGAAAGGCCACCTGCACTCTTGGTGCATTTTTCTCTTCCCACTCCCCTCTCCTGTCACTGAGACACCTTGTCCAGCCACCCTTCCCCTCCCTCCCCCAGGCCACAGCTTTCTGGCTCAGGTATCCTTAGCAGTCAATAGGGCTGAGCCCATCAAATCTTCCTATGCCAGCATTCAGGATCTCCCATCCCTTCTGTTCTAGATGACCCTGGCTCTGGCCATTGGGCAGAAACAGGGTGCAGTGAAGAAAAGGGCTGTCTCTCAGCAACCCAGCAACTTGATCCCATTGACAAAGTTCTTTCCCACACAGCCCCCCTCCAATCTATTAACTGCTGTTCTGGGGCCCTGACCTGTCACTGGGGTTACATTTCTTATCCAAAACCTTCATTACCTGAACCTCAGCCCCTCTCCCACCTGGAGACACAGGGGCCTCTTCATTCTGTAGAAAAAGAGAAAAGGTTTCTCTCTGCTTGGGCATGCAAGTGGGCAGGGAGGCAGTGGGGTAGATTCTTAGCACCCCAATTCAGAGTCCTAGTTCCATTTTCCATAGAAATCACATTACAGACGACGATGCTTTGCCATAAAAACTATGCTGGACAACAGTCACTATCAGGACTCTGCTTCTTGACTATTACGGATTGAATGGGCATTTATTGGGTGTATGGCCTGTGCCACATCACCGGGTGGGTATGTTGGGCCAATTCCCTGACCTCTTGTAGCCTCTCATTTCCACAGATGAAGAGCTTGCCCACTTCGCCACAGGACTGTTAGAAGGGTTTAGATAACACAGGCGTCAGTAAAGTCAGGTCCCTCACCATCCCCAGGCACCTGCCTCTTGAATTTCACGGCACCAGCAGCTACATACAACATGGAAGAGTGTTTGCTTCCCAGCTGCCAAAGACTGGCAGGCAGGCTTTCTATTTTGGTGGCCATTTGACACTGGTAGGATCATGGCCAAGTCTTTTTAAAGAGGACTTCGGCCCTCTTTTGGTAAAATACCATTCAGAGCAACAAGAAAGCCCCAGCTCAGTTAGTGAGAGTAATCATTGTTATCCACAGAGCACTTCCTGTGCTTTATAGCATCAGCTGAACGCCAGTGCCTGTCATGGGCCAGACTGTGCTTCCCTGAAATTCATATGAAGTTCCTATCCCCAGGACCTCAGAATGTGACTGTGCTTGGAGGTAGAGCATTTATAGAGGTAGAGCATTTATGATTACATAAAAATGAGGTCACTGGGGTGGGCCCTCATCCAGTCTGACTTGTGTTCTTACAAGAAGAAGAGATTGAAACGTAGACACACTCAGAGGGAAGACCTTGTGAAGACACACGGGAAGCAGATAGCATCAGCAAGTCAAGGAGAGAGGCCTTGCAAGGAACCAACCCTGCCTGCACCTTGATGGGGACTTCCAGCCTCCAGAACTCTGAGCAAAGAAATATGTGTTGTTTAAGCTGCGCGGTCTATGGTACTTGTTACGGTAGCCAGAGCAGACTATTATATCCACATTTTGGGGGTAAGAAAACTAAAACACAAAGAGACCATTATTAAGTCATTTGATCAGGAGCACACAGCTCTCTGTCAGTCTGCACTGCCCCTCTGAGTTGCCCCAACGACTATTTAGATCACATTGGAGCAAAACAAGTAAAATTTCCGCTGCATGCTTGCTGTGTACAATGTTCTCATCTTGATGGAGAAGTATAAGCTCTGTGCAGGCAGAAAGCATGCCTGTCTGCTCATTTCACCCCCTCCACCCTACCATCTAGATTGGTGTCTGGTATGTCTCAGGATTCGGTGACTGTGTTAGTTAATTTAAATTACTGTATTGTGCTTTTGAAAGAAGTCACTAAAGTAGAATATTCATAAATCAGTTATAAAGTATCTTTGTAACATATTGCAATGGCCAGTATCTAATGTCGTTTCTACTGATCTTGTCACTTTTGTCTTCATGGCCTGATAAATATTCTAAAACCTGCTCTTCCACATGAGTTTTTTTTTCTCAAGTAGCTTTTGTAATTCACATGTTTGCAAAGGTCTATTAAAAGTTTATTTTTCAGTCTTATTTCTTGACATCATTGTTACCAATACACGTTGTCCTCTGCCTGGCCCCCCTGCCCCGGCATGCTAGCTGTTTAATAAGTCTGTGAGGCCGTCCTGATTGAGCTTCAGGCACCACTGCTTTCTGGACAAAAAAGTTTGCTTTCATGGATGGCCTGCCTTCTGGATTGTGGAGCTGTGGTGTTGTTATGGTGCTCTCATTGTGTAGTTGAACCACCCTGCATTTGAAATCCTGGGAAAGGATGAGTTCTCAGATTTAGAGGTTTGTGTTTTTATATAGTACAAGTTAACCCAAAGTAGAAATCTAAGCATTTCACCTATTCTAATATTCTGGCTTACTCTTGTGTTTCCCATGCACGTGAATAAAATGCTGCAGTACAAAGAGAAAGGGCAGAAGCCATTAGCATAAATGAGTCTGTATTTGCTCTAAAACCTCCGTGGCCAACCCTCCAGTGGCCTCGCACGCCTCCCGGCACTTTGGGTCTGTGCATCCCAGGGCAGTGGCTGCTGGAAGGGGCCAGCAGACTAGCTCTCCACCATTGAGGACAATCAGCCTTCTTCTCCTCTTGACTCCCTCCCCACTCAGCAAGGCCATAGAAGCACAAGTAATTCTTAGGACTGATCTCCCTTTATTCTAGTTTAAGGAAGAAAAGGAGAAAGGGGTACAAGCTACCCATGGAAGTGCTTTGGTGTCATTTTAAGGAGTCTGCAAATGACTAAACCTCCACACTGGCTAAGGTAGAGGTCAAAGCACTCACCTCTCAGGACAGCCGAGGAAGGCCAGTCCGCCTGTGCAGGGTGTGTCCCCAGCTCTGGGGCTGACATGCTTTCCTCTCCTAGAATGTTCCGGAATTCCATGCGGTTAAAACATTTTTACCTTAGGGCTTTTCTAGCTTTTTTTCTCAATGCACAGAAAAAAATGTTTATCATGCCTGTTCAATACTCACATCTGTGACTGAAGAAACAGTACTTATTGTAATTGTGTTTGATGCACTGCAATTTTCTGCTTTATTCCGTTAAACTCAACACATACATATAGGCTGGTTGCAACCCATTAAAGTGATTTTCGTCAACCACTAGTGGGCTTTGAATCACAGTATGAAAAAGTTTGCCTTCAATTTAAGCGATCAGCTAATTTTTCCTAATTCACTCATCACAATTTGTTGTGGGAAATGTCTGCTGTTTGAAAGAAGAAAAGAATAGTAAGAAGAGAAGAAAGGTAGAGCTGATGGGTTTTGCTCAGTAGGGCTGTTAAGCTGCCCAGGGGTGAGGGTAGGGACACTGAGTGTCCCAGGAGTAGAGGAGGCCAAGGCAGCTGGGGGCAGGGCAGGGCAGGGCAGGGCATGGCTGTGCTCCCTAAGACTGGATCAGTCTTAGAGTTCTAACTGGTCTTTGAATTCATTTAGTCTGACTTCCCAGTCATTCTAGAAATAAAAAAGATATTTTCTCTGCATTTATACTTTATTTTTCTGAAAGGCACAGCGATACTTTAAAAATGGTTATTTCAGAAGGAAACTCTCTACTGTTCTTGTTATCTTTTGTGTCACTGGTACTCCTGTAATTTGTGGTTTTGATTTTAGAGAGGCCTCACCCTGTTGCACACAGTCTGGAGTGCAGTGGAGTGATTTTTTGCAGACACAGGGTCTTGCTATGTTGCCCAGGCTGGTCTCAGACTCTTGGCCTCAAGCAGTCCTTCCACCACGGCCTCTCAAAGCCTGGGATTCCAGGTGTGAGCCACTGTGCTGGCCCCATGACATGTTTTTATGGGTAAAACAGATCAATGTAAGTAATTCTCAACTTTAAGTACCTTCACAACTCTAGGAGGCAGCTGCCAGCACCGTATTTTTCTGATGGTAATTCGTTTAGTCTAACTTCACAGTCATTCTAGAAATGAAAAAGATTTTCTCTGCGTTCATACTTTTTCTGAGAGGCACAGCAATGCTCTAAAAATGATCATTTCAAAAGGAAACTTTCTTTTCTTTTGTGTCCTTATCTTTTGTGTCACTGGTACTCCTGCACTTTCTGGTTTTGTTTGATTTTAGAGACAGGGCTTCAGCCTGTTGCACACAGTAAGTACTGTCCATGTGTCCCCTTGTATTTAACCACCAGAGAAACTGTGTGGAAATCCCGGTAAGCTAGGGAGTGGGGTGGTGCCCAAGTGCCCCGCGCCACTGAGCCTTGCTGTGTCTCCACAGGCCTCGGCAAGACGCGCAGGAAGACCAGCGCACGGGACGCGTCCCCCACGCCCAGCACGGACGCCGAGTACCCAGCCAACGGCAGCGGCGCCGACCGCATCTATGACCTCAACATCCCGGCCTTTGTCAAGTTTGCCTATGTGGCCGAGCGGGAGGATGAGCTGTCCCTGGTGAAGGGGTCGCGCGTCACTGTCATGGAGAAGTGCAGTGACGGTTGGTGGCGGGGCAGCTACAATGGGCAGATCGGCTGGTTCCCCTCCAACTACGTCCTGGAAGAGGTGGACGAGGCGGCTGCGGAGTCCCCGAGCTTCCTGAGCCTGCGCAAGGGCGCCTCGCTGAGCAACGGCCAGGGCTCCCGCGTGCTGCACGTGGTCCAGACGCTGTACCCCTTCAGCTCAGTCACCGAGGAGGAGCTCAACTTCGAGAAGGGGGAAACCATGGAGGTGATTGAGAAGCCCGAGAACGACCCCGAGTGGTGGAAATGCAAAAATGCCCGGGGCCAGGTGGGCCTCGTCCCCAAAAACTACGTGGTGGTCCTCAGTGACGGGCCGGCCCTGCACCCTGCGCACGCCCCGCAGATAAGCTACACCGGGCCCTCGTCCAGCGGGCGCTTCGCAGGCAGAGAGTGGTACTACGGGAACGTGACGCGGCACCAGGCCGAGTGCGCCCTCAACGAGCGGGGCGTGGAGGGCGACTTCCTCATTAGGGACAGCGAGTCCTCGGTAAGTGCGCTGCCCCCGCAGCTCCGCCTGGAGGCTGTCAATGCGCCTTGCGCGGTGGCTCTGTGTGCCACACCCTTTTCACATTGTGTGAGTACACTAGAAACTGGGAGATGCGGATGAATGCAATTTAGTATAACGTTTGCTACTCCGTGATTTCCTTACGTCTGCTTTGGGGATAGTGTGTGTCCGTTTCTGGAGGTGGAAGGTTAATTAAAACTTTTTTTTTTAGCTTACAAAGGTGGTTCTGCTTCTCTCCCAAGATTCCCCCTCTTGTATTTTAGGGGTTCAAACATCGTTTTTTCTCCTGGTTGCCCATTCTGTGTAAGCAGAAGGCCCGAGTGATTTACTTTGTTTATACTCGGTCTGTGTCCCAGAGAAAGCAAGCTCTGCAAGACTTGTGGCTGGTTTCTGACACTGCCTTTTGTTGTTTGCTTGCTTTTTCTTTGTAAACCATATAATCCCAAGATCATTGCCTCGCCAGGCAGCACCACTGAGTTCATCTCTGAAAAGCTTTTAAAGCACTTAGGAGATGAATTGAAAAGAAAACAAGGGTTCTTAAGAGAGATGAGTTTTGTGTGTGTGCAGTGAGTCGGAGATATGAGGCCACTCGACTGGGGCAGCAGACCACTTCCAAAAGTGGGCAGGCTGTGGGGGTGGTTTCAGGCATGGGGTCCACTGGAGCCTGCATCCCAGAAGGCAGCCTTTTCGAGTGTGAAGGAAATACTCCACCAGTTTTGCAAACGTCTTTCCGAATACACTTTCTGCAATTGAGAGACCCCCAAAACAAGCATTTAGGAGACAGAGTTTGATGTATTTGAATTGTATTGGTTCTAGTAGGCTTCAATTTCATTTTTAAATGCACACTGTAAGACTGCTATGTACTACCTACTGCCACTGCTGTCCTCTGAAAAGGTTACTAGCACAATGAGTAAGTGTACATTCAAGAGTCCTGTTGACTGATCTGAGAGGCATTCAAAGCCCTCCAGAAAGAGGCAACTGGGATCTGCTCCTCTTGGAGGAAAGAGCATCCTGGTGGTGGAAACTGGGCTCCTTTATGGTGTCATCAATTTTGCGGAGCCTTAGATGTACTTGGAAGGGCATGCCAGCCTGAAAGCTAACTTCCTCTGAAATCTGAACTCTGAGATTTTCTTATCAAGTCACCAGGGTTTATCATTCCTGGCAAGACATCACATTGAATTGTTCTCACATGATGAGAGCTCTGTGCACCACTTCCTTTAGATCACGTTTGAAGCCTTAAGCAAATTAAGGACAGCAGCGCTTTTAACTCAGTCGAGTGGAAACTTAGAGAAAGCACTGGAAAACCAATTACAATATTAAGTGCTTGGTCCAGAGTGCTTAAGGGCTAAGGATGATGCACAAAATATGATCTTGGCTTAAAATTTTTGAGTTTGAAGAGACTTCCCGGAGGGAAGTCCTGCAATGTGGAGACATTGGCCCCAATCATTATTCTTTCTTCCTAGGATTTGGGGAGAAGAGGAAAGACTTTAGAGGGTAAATGAAAAAAGTGTTCTATGGGGTGGTGGCCTTAGAGAAGACCTATGCCTTTTCTGTTTAACATGCACATGTGGTCATTGCTGTCTGAATTGAGGACCAGATCCCTTTGGATAGGGAGGGATGCATGTTTTGGCTGCATTTCATCTCAGAACTCTACACCCCACTGTCTCAGTTGCCTTGCATTGTTAGAGAATATGCTGACTTTTCCTAAAGAATTAAAGTACTGGCCGGGCGCGGTGGCTCAAGCCTGTAATCCCAGCACTTTGGGAGGCTGAGGCGGGTGGATCACGAGGTCAAGAGATCGAGACCATCCTGGTCAACATGGTGAAACCCCGTCTCTACTAAAAATAAAAAAATTAGCTGGGCATGGTGGCGGGTGCCTGTAATCCCAGCTACTCAGGAGGCTGAGGCAGGAGAATTGCCTGAACCCAGGAGGCGGAGGTTGCGGTGAGCCAAGATCGTGCCATTGCACTCCAGCCTGGGCAACAAGAGCGAAACTCCGTCTCAAAAAAAAAAGAATTAAAGTACTAATTGTATTTCCTTTTAACCATTGTTTAATGGAAGCCTTTCCAGATATTTTACAGCCTGCCTTAGCTTAGAAAGTCAAGGAACAACATGTATGATTCCAGGAATATAAGGTGGAAAGGGCTTTACTGGGACTTGCATCGGCTATTCACACGTAGCGGCATTGTCTCGGTCTGAGGCTCCACGTGGCCTGATGCTGTGCAGGGCAGCTTGTCCTGATGGATCTTGCCATGACACGGGCCATTTCAGCTGTTAGTATGCATGTGCCACAGGGATTCTGCAAGGGCTCTGAGGTGTGTTGCTCCTTTTCTCCTGACAGCAGAACCAAGCCAGGTTTGCTGCATTTCCTGTTTATAACCAAGGCTGTTCTCAGCTGTCATCTGTGACTGCCAGGGACCTGCCCTAGTGGACGAGTCCTTTGCTTATTTTTTTCCCACAATCCACTGCCTCCCCCCATCCCCATGTGTTTTCCTGTTCATTTTGGCATTTCACAGCCACCACCAGGCCACCAAGAGCTCTTAGGTTCATGATCTGACATAATTCCTTCACAGCATGCCAGGATGGAAAGGTTTCTGAGGGATTCAGCCTCCCTGCAGAACTCAGAGGCAGGCATCTTCATTTAATTTCCTTTTCTTTTCTTGCAATCTTTGGGCCTGGGCCTTTAATTGAGGTTACCATATGAAGCCTGGCTTCTGGATAAGCACAGCTGTTTTTTTGGAATGGATCTTCAAGATGTGTATCAGTTTTTAAAATATCCTGAGTGATTGCAGTGTAAATGAGCTAGACCTTTGTTTGAAGATATTGAGAGGTGGATATTTCAGGGAAAACAAACATTGCCACATCCTACGCGATCCACTATCAGTAAGCGCTGGGTATTTCAGAAGTGCCTGTTGGATATATTAGATGAATCAGTGAATCAACAAACGAACGAACCTGTTGGCCTCTTTTTCCTGCCCTGAACCTCAGTACCTACTGCTTGTTCTTCCATTTCTTCCTTTTACCCCGCTCTCCTCTTTCATCCATTGTCATTTATTGTTAGTAGATAAAGTGATGCATTGTTGTTGCTTATTGTCCATATTTCATTATCATACCTTCATCTGTGAGCCATACCTGCTTAAATCCAGAAAACTCAGAAATTTTACTCACCCTGTGTGTGTTCATAAATCTTTACATGTTACATCTCATCGGCATTGATTCTATGGATGTGGATATAAAGCTGTACTTAAAATGAACAGTGACCATTTGCTGAGTTTCTGGTAAACTGGACAAGTTGTCGATATTTTATTTTCTTAATTGCTGCATCCCCCATCCTTGTAACGGTTGCTTGGGAAGTGACAGATCACAACTAGGGTGTGGTTGGAAAAGGTGCAGAGCTGGCCTGGGTGACTTGCTGGGCAGCATCAGCCACAGGTCTGGGAGGCTGTTTTCCTCTGTAAGATTTTAAATCCCTAAGAGATCACATACTTATTCTTTCTGCCTAGGACTTGGGGAGAAGAGGAAAGACTTTAGAGGGTAGATGAAAAAGGTGTTCTCTGGGGTTGTGGCCTTAGGGAAGACATGTTTATTATGCCCTGCAATGGTATTAGATACTCATATTTTTGTCATAATATACATTTGATTCCAGTAGAGAAAAACTCTCTTGCTAAGGATAATTGAATGCACATATTGGCCATACTAAAAGTTGATGGATATTTCATTTCTCTTTTTAAAAATATACTAAAAGTAGTTGACCAGAAAATAAAATAATTAGAATAGTTCCTTTCTGTATTTCTAAAGTTATAATATTTCTTATGGAAATCATAACTTCTACCCAAAACTCTATTTTCAGCAATTTGATTATTCCATTTCTCTAAGTGGTGATTCTCAAACTGTATGTATAGTGTGTAGAATCGTTTTGAGGGCTATTAAAACAGAAATTGCCAGGTCCTTCCTGCAATGGACCTGATTCACGAGGTCTGGGGCCCAAGAATCTGCACTTCTATTAATAGCACATTTGTTGGTGGTGAGACTGCTGCTTTGGGGACTACACTTTGAAAACCTTTGATCCCTATGATGCATTTTTAGTGGTTTTATACATTCTCACAGCTGTTATTAAAATCATTTCTACATAATACTACCTTTCCAAGAATTATAAAAATATTGTCATAAAGCTTAGCTTCATTTACAACTATAGCTTTTATTGAGTGGAATTTATCTCTTGAAGTGTATTTCTGTTGAGTTTTTTTGTTTTGTTTTGTTTTACTGTCTAGAGTTTGAAAATAAACGTCCTCTATTTGCTGTGTTTCTGCTGGTGAATTGGAAGGAGGTAGATTGTTACAGCAAAGTGAAAACTGCTTCCACGTCACCTCTGAAGATGGGGAGCAATTGAGTGAACTCCTTCGGTGATTTCCTGACAGGCTGCCTAGATTCATGGTTAGGCTTCCATCTGTAGGTGTTTCTTCATAAATGAATTAACGTTAAGATGACTTAACCTTAGGTTGCTGTGAGCAGTGCCAGTAGGCTTCTTTCCAGTTTCAAAGACAACAAGTTCATTTTAACTGCCAGGCTTTTTGCCCAGTACCAAATGGAAGTTTTAAGCCTGGATTTTTGTAATATTTCTAATTTTAAGCATATTTAACTCTTTTTTTTTTTTTTTCTGAGACGGAGTTTCTCTCTTGTTACCCAGGCTGGAGTGCAATGGCGCAATCTTGGCTCACCACAACCTCCGCCTCCTGGGTTCAGGCAATTCTCCTGCCTCAGCCTCCTTAGTGGCTGGGATTACAGGCACGCGCCACCATGCCCAGCTGATTTTTGTATTTTTAGTAGAGCCGGGATTTCACCATGTTGACCAGGATGGTCTCGATCTCTTGACCTCGTGATCCGCCCACCTCAGCCTCCCAAATTGCTGGGATTACAGCATATTTAACTCCTGAAGATGGAAGGGTCTGGAAGATCATGAAGTACAGGCTGTTATATAGAAG